CTGTTGCATTGTGGTAAACTGTGGTCAATGTCATGAGACAAAGTGTATGTGAACTTCTGTATGAAAAGTGAATTTGCTCTGTAAATCTTCACCCAAATCACAATTTAAAAAAAAAGAAGAAGATGATTATGAACCATGCCTGGATGTACTTGTTTTCCAAATATTTTGTTATTGATATTTATATATTGTAAAATTTCTCAGACTTACAACCAACCATAACCAAACCCAGTACCACCGAGTCATTTTCCAACTCATAGTGACCCTCATTGGGTTTCCAAGGCTTTAAATCTTTACAGAAGTGATTGTTTCATCTTCCTCCTGTGGAGCAGCTCATAGGTTTGAACTACCAGCCTTCTGGTTAGTGACCAAATGCATTACCCACTACTCCACCAGTGGTCCTTTCTGAAACATACAGAAAAGTAAAAGGAAATGTATGGTGACCCACCTGTGAGGTTCTACTGTTCACATTTTATTGTGAATATTTTATTCTACTGTTCATATTTTATTTATTTTATTCATCCTTCCATGTAAAAACCGAAAACCAAACACACTGCCGTTGAGTCGGATCTGACTCATAACAACTCCTCCTTGGGTTTCCCAGGCAGGATCACTATGGAAGTAGATTGCCTAAGTTTCCTTCCAAGGAGTGGCTGGTGAGTTTGCACCACCAGCCTTCTGGTTAGCAGTCAAGTATCTTAGGCACTACACCACCAGAGCTCCTTCCTTCCATGTTGCCATGTTATTTTTCATGCATGTCAAAGTAAGTTTCAGACATAGTACATTTTTTACTTTTTTTTTACTTTAAAATAAAATTTTTGAAAATTTTATAACATTCACAGAAGTATAAAACACAGTCTTATGAAGTCCCATTTACTCATCATCCCGATCTACAATTTGTCTACATTTTGCAAGTGTCATTTTATCTCTCTCCCTCACTGCACATTTTTCCTTGATTAGTTTAAGATAGACAACATATCGTTTCACTCGTAAGTTCTTGTGTTATCTGATGGATGCATCCTGCTTCCTACCCTACTTATGATTGTGGATCACAGGGTAGTAGGCTCTATGAGCAGCCTGCCAAGTGTCCCTGCATATAAGCAGCTGCAGGCGGTCAGCCTGGTGGGAGTGTCCTGGGCGATGGGAGTGAGCAATTTTCAGTGACTTAAAAAACTTAACTTAATAGAGCACCACTCCCACAAGCATACAAGCGTTTATTGAAAATATGTTCCAAAGTGGAACGGATCTTTCCTATGGAATGGAAAAGACCTCAAGCTGCTTAACTTCTGTATATGTTATACTTCCCACAAGGGGCATTCTTAGCTAAGAGACATTCTCAGGACTAGGCTGGGTCTTTTGAGTAACATGTCCCTGAGAGACCTGCACATGCTCAGAAGCTGGTTTCCTTAGTTCGGCTTAAAATCTGAACTGAAACCACATTGAAATTATAATGTTAGGGATTTAGGTGTCAGTCAAATGTATGACACTTCTGCACATGCCCCAAGTTAGGGACTGTACCTTAACCTCAAGTTTCCTGGGTCTTTGGTTATTCTGCTTAATTTTGATTGGCTAGGCCATGTAGGTGGTTTTGGGTTGCTGTAGGTGTTAGCTTATTAACCTTCTTAAATATCCCACCACTCTCCCCTTTTCTCCTGCCTTTGGGCCTGCCCTCAGGCCAACCCCCCTGTTCTGCCATACTGCCTAACACTTGTATCTCTAACAGAAAATAATTTAAGACACTAGCATTTGGCAAAATCAACAGAATTCCTTAATTCAGTCGTTGGCAATTTTCGCTAATTATCTCTGTCTTTTCTTTATTTGAATCAATTTCAATAAAATCTCCATATTACAAATAAATCTCTCTTGCTTCCCAGAGTCCATAATTGCATTGTTCCTATCTTCAGGTTCACCAGTTTTTTCTTCTCCCAGCTCAAATCTGCTGTTGAGCCCCTCCAGGGGAATTTTTCACTTCCATTATTGTATTTTCTAGTTGTAGTGTTTCTGTTTGATTCTTTTTAAAAGTTTCCATTTACTGAAATTTTCATTTCCTTACTGTAGCATTTCCTAGTTCCCTTTAGTTCTTTGTCCTTGCTTCTCTTTAGCTCTTTGAGCATATTTTTGTTTCAAAGTCTTTGTCTTGCAAATCCATCATTTGTCCTTCCTCAGGGATGATTTTGTCCCTTTATTTTCCCACTTCTTTGTATACCAGAACATTTGACTATGATGATATGGTAACTTTGGAAGTCAGATTCTTCTGAAAGTGAAGCTGTTACCACTTTAAGACTAGGCTCCTTGTCTCAGAGTGCGGGCTGTCACAGCTTTAACAGTAGGTTCCCTCTCTGGGAATGTGAGCTGTTGCCTCTTTAACACCAGGCTACTTGTCTGGAACTGCCAGCTGTCACTGCTTTAAGACCAGGATCCCTGTCTAGGTTGCTGCCCACTGCAGCCAGCCACACTGAGCTGGGGAAGGGACCAAGGATGGACAGGTGAAAATCTAAAGCTCTCCTTCCATGTATGTGTCACCTTTATCTAGATTTAGCATTTGCTTAGATGCAGTATCCCTTTGATTACCAGGGCACTGAAGCTGTTATTTCTGTTGACTTCTGCTTGTGTTTTTGTTTGTTTGTTTGGGGACGGAAAGTATAGCTACTTATGCCACTTTCTTGCTCCATCTCTGATCTAAATTTCTTAGAATTTATAAAATATTTTCCTTTTATTTTTCATGCCATATTGATTGGTTGAAGAAATTCGATCATTTGTCTTGGAGAATTCATCTTCTGGATTAGGCTGATTCTGGTAGCACAGTGCCTAAGATATCTGACTGCTAACCAGATGGTTGGTGGTTCAAATCCACCAGCCACTCCACAGAAGCAAGACTGGACAGTCTACTTCCATAAAGATTTACCACCTCGGAAACCCAATGGAGTCGCTAAGAGTCAGAACCAACTTGATGGCAGTGGGTTTTATCCTTGTGGTAGTGTTTAACCAGTTCCTCTCTTTCCTTTATTACCTATAGACTGCTAGTTAGATCCAGATGTGTTATTACATTCTAAGCCAGTTATTATCTTGGCAAGACAACTTCATAGGTGGTTCTGGTACTTCTTAGGACATCTCCTCAAGGAGCACATGATGTGTTGTTATTCTATTGTTAGTGATGTTAAGACATGTTTAAAGAACAGCAGCTCTCTCAACATATTAAATTGTGAAAGCATAAAAATACCAATTATATATCTCATTATTTGATCCACAGAACAGATATTAAATACAGAAGAGAATACAGAATGTGTTAGGGCTGGCTAAAATCTAGTGTTATCATTGTGTTCTGTTGGATTAGGTTAACTAGACTTATGGGTAAATTTCGAAGGACTATACATACACACACAAATGAGTGTATGTAAAAACTAGTGAGATCTGTAGTTGAGTTAATTGACCTGTATCAATGTATCAATGTCAGTTTCCTGGTTTTAATAATGTACTGTAGTTATATAAGATTTTACCAGTGGGGGAACTAGATGAAGGGGACACAGGATTGTCTCTACTACTTTTGTAACTTCTCATGAATCTAAAATTATTTCTGAATAAAAATATAAAAATGAAAATTGCCTGGACTCTGGAAAATTCCTAAGTTCAACATATCTTAGGCTCCAGATAATCTTTGCATAAACTATCTTCTGCCAACTTGATTGTGTGGCCCTTTAAACATATGTCCCTACAGGGGAAAAACTTCTTAGCCATAACAAAATATTTTGAGGGAATGAGTTGCTGGGCTTGGGGGCTCACAACCATAGTCTCAGGAGACCCTAAGGTCAATTGGCATAACACAGTCCACAAAGACAATATTCTTCATCCTGCTTCGGTCAGAGAATGGTGAAGGATATCATGTTTGATAAAGTGGAGGGTCAACGAAAATGGGAAAGGCCCTCAACTAGATGGATTGATATAGTGGCTGCAATGATGGACTCAGGTATAGCGAGAGTCAAGAAGCTGGCACAGGACCAGGCACTGTTTTGTTCTGCTGTGCATAGGGTTGCTATGAGTTGGAGAGTCCTTGATGGCACGTTTGGTGAATAGCAACTGGTGTCTTAAAAGCTTATTAGCAGCCATCTAAGTTGCAGATGATCTCTCCCCATCTGGAACAAGAAGAGTGAAGAAAATCAAAGATGACAGGGAAAAAAATGGTCCAAAGGCCTAATGGACAATGTGAACCCCAGCCTGCATGACCCTGAGACCAGAAGAACTAGAAGATGGTGCCTGGCTACACTGCTGGCCACTCTGAAAAAGGATAACAAGAGGAGATCCTGGACAGAGTGGGAGAAAAATGTGGAACAAAAATCATAAAAAAAAGACCAGGCTTGCTGGTCTTATAGAGACTGGTGGAACCCCTGAGACTGTGGTCCTTAGGCACACGTCAAGCTTGGAACTGAATTCACTTCCATAACTTAACTTTCAGCCAAGCAATTTAAGGTGAACAATAATACCAGAGAGGTATACACTCCTTAGAACAATTAGCCATAGGAGAGCAAAAAGGCATTATTTGCCCAGAGATAAAGCTAAGGCAGGAAGAGATAGGAAAGAAGGGTGAAAGGAATGGTAAGCACAGGGAGGAAGTGAGAAGAGTGCTGTTACATTGTGGGGGTTGCAATTGATGTCACAAACAAAATATATATGAATTGTTGAAAACCAATTTACTCTGTAAACTTTCATCCAAATCACAGTAAAAATAAATAAATAAAATTATGTCTCATTAAAGGAGCTCTGGTGGCATAGTGCCCAAGGCATTTGACTGCTAACCAGAAGGTTGGTGGTTCAAACCTGCCAGCCACTCCATGGAAAGAAGATTGGGCAATCTTCTTATGTAAAGATTTACCACCTTGGAAACCCAAAGGGGGTTGCTATAAGTTGGAATTAACTCAATGGCAGTGAGTATGGTTTTTTTGGTTTGATGTCTCATTAGTAACCAAATATTGCAAATTTTTATTGTGTTCCCTGTTTCTGTTTTATAGATCTGAACAATCACCACACTCAGAGTTACTGAGGGCACAATTGGGTCAGCATGTCACCACCTGGAAAGAACAAGATAGTTCTCTCAAAGAAGAGGAGGTAGGTAAGCCCTTTGAAATTTTCACAGTCAAAAATGAGCACCAGAGGATGAAAGTTAATCATTTTTATTTAAAAGAAAAAATAACTTTCAAGTTATTAATTTGAGGAAATATTTATGTTCTTAAAAATACCCTATTTGAGTTTAAAAGGTAATGGTAAGAAAAGTTATGATAAATGAGATTTTGTTTTTTGGGGGGGGTTTGTTGTTTTTGTTTACCTTTCTGAATGTGTTTTGTGTAGCAGTACAAATGCCTGACCTAATGTTAACTTTGGTCCTGGAGGTAACCTAATTAAGTATATCTCTCACAACATTTTGTAAGAAACTTAGAAGCATCATGTAACAGTTTACTTTTCTGTGTCTACTCCATACTTAAAAAGTATGGTATGGTCATTCATGTCAATTCAGCAAATTTAAACCATTACTATACATTGGTACCAGCCCATGTCCATTGAGGAATAAATAAAATGTGCCCCCCCTCCTTCTGGAAACAGTGATATCATTTGGCATCGTGGGATGAGTGTAGTAAAAGAAAGCAAAGAACCTGGACTTTTATAAAAGATGGCGAGCCATCTGGAGGAGCCGTGAGGACAGACTTTATGATGGAAAGAGTGAAGGGGCATGCAAGGGAACCCTTAAGACTGACAGGATTTTGACAGGCTAAAAGTGCAAGAAAGAGCCCACATGGCACGATGGTTAAGCACTTGACTGCTAACCGAAAGGTTGACAGTTTGAACCCACCAGCCACTCTGAGAGAAAGATACGGGTTCTGTAATGATTATAGCCTTGGCAACCCTATGGCAGTTCTGCTTTGCCCTAGTTGGTCTTTGTGAGTCAAATTGACTCAGTGATAGTGCAGTGTGAAGGTCAAGGGCAACTAGAAAGGGCTGTTGTAGGCTAAAGAACTGGCCAGGAAACCCACCACATATCCAGGAAACAAGGCTGCCGGACAGAGCTCATGTCTGGAGGTACCCGTGGTTATGAGATGAAGCCTAAGAGGTAGTTGGGACTGTGTTGTATTGAATTTTTACCCCTAGACCAGAGAGTTTGTGTTTCATTTTAATAGATTTGGGGAAGCCATAGAGCTTTTTGAATAGGTGATTTCTATAGCGTCTTAAAGAATTTCTTCTCCTTGGGTTGGAACTTTTGCTGTTGTTATGTGCCATCAAGTCGGACCCAACTCATAGCAACCCCTTCTTGGGATTCCGAGAGAGTATCACTACGGAAGTAGACTGCCCCATCTTCCTTCCGAGGAGTGGCTGGTGGGTTTGAACCGCCAGCCTTCTGGTTAGCAGTCAAGTGCCTTAGGCACTACACTACCAGAACTCCCTCTGTACAGGGTTGGGACAGAGACAGTGAATGAGGGAGTCTCACAGTGGTTCAGGCAAGACGTAAATGGTACCTGACTTGGGAGCTGGTACAGAGGGAGAGTTCAAAGATGATAAACAGGAACTGAGGGAGCAAATTCCCAAGAAAGTCACAAGGGGTGAACTCAGAAGCCTAGATTTAGAGCTTTCCCATTTCAGTATTCATCATTCATGAGAGAAGCCATATTCAGAGGGATAGTCTTTCTTCTGCTAAGTTTAATGTCTTGTAGAATTGTCTTGTTTCAAAGTGTATTTTTTACTCTTATATGTAATATAGGGGTTTCTGGCTTTGATATTTTAAAATACTACTTTATTGTGTTTTCAGTGAAAGTTAACACAGAAGTTTAAGTTCCTGTTCAACAATTTCTACACAAGTTCAGTGACATTGGTCATATTCTTCACCATGCTTGAACATTCTCATCATTTCCATTCTACTTGTTCCATTTCCATTCATCTCATTTCCCTGTCCCCTTATACTCTCATCTTTATTTTAAAGTAATTATTGATCATTTTGTCTCATATAAGTAGTTTTTTTAAGAAGCACAGTATTTACAGATGATATTCATTATATTTTTGAGCCAATTTGTTATTTAGCTACAAAGTGACCTCAGAAGTTAGTTTTGTTTCAAGGTTTAAAGAGTGTCTCAGGGCTATAGTCTCAGGGACTCCACTAGTCTCATCCATTCCAGTCAGTCTGATTTGTGTTTTTTTTATGCTTTGTTTTGTTTTTTAGGAATTTATAGTTCTGTTTCACGTTTTTCTCACATTCTATCAGTGTCCATCTATTGTGACCCTCTTAGAACAATCCATCTTTTTCACTGCAGCTACATCACATCTCCACCACATTGGTGGTGAGAAGTGTTGGTGACTGCCATTTGCTATCTAATCATCCTCTCTCTCTCTCTCTTTTTTAAAGGTACAAAAGTAAGTTTATATCAGCAAACAAGTTTCAAGTTTAAAACTGCCAGTCTACTCAGTTTTTCAAATGACTCCTTTATTAATTGGGTACTGTACAACTAATAACTAATGAAGCCAATGATGTTCTACCTCCCCTAGTAGGCTTTTTGCTCCTTTTGAATCACAGTGAACTCATCTTAGTGACAACATAAAAATTACTAATAAATTAATGACAGAATCAATCTTTAATGGACATAAGCAGGAGGTTTTTCAGACAACTAGCTTGTGACTGTAGAAATGCACAGCCTCAGAGAAAAATGTCACCAAAATGGTACTGGCAGGGCAGGGCAAGCCTTTTGAATGTTAAGAAGACAAAATCCTTTTGTGGGTTCTAGGACTATTTAGGGAGCTCTGGTGACATAGTGCCTAAGGCATTTGACTGCTAACCAGAAAGCTGGTGGTTCAAACCCACCAGCCACTCCTCAGAAGGAGGTTTGGGCAATCTACTTCCATAGAGATACTGCCTCAGAAACCCACAGAGAGGTCACTATGAATCGACTCAATGGCAGTGAGTTTGGTTTTGTTTGAGGACTATTTAGATTCATAGATCATCCTTTAGTGATGAGTGAAGTAAAATAATTTTCAGTTGTTTCTGTGTATTGAAGTAATATACACATTTTATATACTATGAGTTACATATCTCCTTTTTAGATAAAATCAAGTGATTTTTCAAAATTTAAGAAAGTGATTCTAGAAATTACTTTGTTAAGATTCCAATGAAGCTTAGAAATACTTATTTTCATCTCTTGAGTAAATGGCTAATTAAGCAGCCACATGTAAATGATGTTTACCTGTGGATCGCCATGCTGTCAGCTGGAGTCAATCCTGTTGCTTGAGTGAATACATCATTAATTAAAGCTGCAGAAACCTGGATTATGTCCCCTGGAGACCAGATAAGATCCACAGCATCCAAGTAATCTGTTAGGCAATTACATAATTGAGCAGCATGCTTTTAAGTCAGAAAAATTTGTAATTACTTTATGTGTAAAAGATAAGTTGGGTGGCTTCATTAAAACACAGAGTTCCTTAATACTCCTTTTCTCCCAAGTGATGTCTATTTCTGCAATTGAGAACTTGCTGCAGGCACAACAGAGCAGTATTTTGCTTACGTTACATTATAGAGCAGATTGAGCCTTCCTTTCCCTGTCACATACACCTCACTTTTATTCATCAGAAAGATGTGTGATTGATCACAGGAATACCACCTCTTTCACTAAAGTGATAGACTGTTTTATTATTGTTATTGTTATTATTATTCTCATCTCTTCAATACTTGTTTGCTAACTCATATGAAAACCTTCCCCTTTCTTTTAAATGCTACCTAGAGAACATCCCATTCCTCTCATATAACTTGTTGTTGTTATGTGCCGTCGAGTTGGCCCGACTCATAGTGACCCCTCCTTGGGTTTCCGAGGCAGTATCACTACGGAAGTAGGATTGCCCAACCTTCCTTCCGAGGAGTGGCTGGTGGGTTTGAACCACCAGCCTTCTGGTTAGCAGTCAAGTGCTTTAGCCACTATGCTACCAGAGCTCCCCTCATATAACTAGATATAACTAAAGTGATGATGCTTGCATTTCTCTTTAAACACTGTAGACTTATTTCTGGTGTCCAAGAGGAAAAGAAAGTTTCTTGAGGAAGAGTCAATGAAATTTGTGTATTGGGGGAATACCATCTGCTATTGTCTGCATCAGTGATTTTTAATTATCTTGTTTTTCTCTATCTGTATTATAGCACCGGGTTACATGTGAAATTTAATTTCACAGAAGGCTTTCACATTCACTTTTTCTTTGTGTTTGTAAATGCATCACAGAAATGGGATTCCTTTACAACTAGCATATGTTTTCTTTTAAAAACAAGCAGGAAAAAACAACAACCCTGGAATATTAAGACAGGAAAAGAAGAAGAAAAGGAAAATTATACATTGATACTATCCATACCTATTGACATTGTGGCATATGGTTTTTAATATTTAATATATTTACAAACATGGATTATACTGTTTATGTACATAACCTGTCTTAGGGAACTTCTTTTCCTATCATTACATAGTTTTCTACATCATCTCAAAGAGCTGTTCAATGGCTCCTGTGTGATATTGCATTGCCTCTTTAACTGGTCTCCTGCTGTTGAACAGTTTTGTTTCTACCCTTTCCTGTAGTGAAAAAAGTTTCAAAATACGTCTGTGCAATTCAGATTTTACAAATATCCATGATACTGCTTAGGATGAATTCCTAAGTATAGAGTTATTAAAGACAAAAGTTATGTACATTGTTTAGGTGTTTGCTATAAATTACCAGATCTTATTCTGGAAGGATCATTAGATTTACCACTAATGGATGAAAATACCATTTCTCTGAGCTGTTTATGAAACAATGCTATGAGGTTCTTTTCTGCTTTGTTTTTCCTTTTGCCAATATGAGAGACAAAAACTGGCATCCAAGATTATTTTAGTCATTTGACCTTTTTATTACAATTGAGATCAAAGCTTTTTCCTACCTATTTATCAGCCATTATATTTCATCTTTTATAATTTTGCAATTCATGTTCTTTGCTCATTTTTCTTTCATGTTAGTGATATTTCCTTGTTGATTTATAGTACTCTCTCTATATAAATTTGTGTAATTTGTTGCAATATTTTTAAAATTTGATTTTTACCTTTTATTTTTCTTAGTGGTATTTTG